TTAATGGAGTCTATAGATGAGGGATATTCACATCCCATAATTGATATTCCTGAGTTCCAGATGTCTCCCCCTGAATATCAAGAATGGGATAAAAGGGTTGTTTTCAAAAAAGGTAACATCCATAGTGTTATAGAACCGGCAAGTTACTGGACAAAAACATTTGTAACCTTTTTGAGAAATGAAAAACCCGACAAAAACACATTTGAGGGCTCTAGAATCAAGTTTCCCTCTGAGGTGACTATGAATGTGAACATAGACAAAAAAGCCAACGACTTTAAACGGAATTGTGTGAAAGATGTGTGATGTTGGGAAGGCTTGAAGTAGTGAATCATAAGATGTTTTAAACTTAAGGATACGGGAGGGCATTCTGTTGATCAAGTATGTGGCTGTGAGGACAGCCTCTCTCCAAAGGTATTTAGGGACATTTGTGGTAAACATGAGTGAGCGAGAAACTTCAAGGATGTGCCTCTTTTTCCTTTCAGCCACATCATTTTGATGAGGGATGTAGGAACAAGAACTCTGATGGACAATACCTTAGCAAGAAAAGAATTTGCCTAAGTTGGATGCAAAATATTCACATTCATTATCTGTTTTCAACACATATATTTTTGTTTGAAATTGGGTTTGAATCATAGTGTTGAATTTTTGAAAGATTTTACCAACCTCAGATTTTTCTTTCATCAAATAGACTCAAATTATTCTAGTATGATCATCAATAAAGGAGTCAAACCATTTTCTGCCAGTAATATTTGAGGATTTGTAAGCAATACTGGGATATGAATTGCGAGTATATTTAAAGAATTGACATACTTCAAATTGAAATGAACTTGGATTTTATTTCCGAATAAAGTACGAAATAGTTATTTTAAGTACATACAGTTTGGACGTCTAAATCTATAATGTCGTAACATAATAGATTCGTCAATATTAGAACATGCTAAAAATACTGAATTAGCACATACTACACTTGAAGTTTGTCTATTAGGAGGTGAGATTTTGACTGCTAGAAGATAAAGTTCTGAATCCTTCTTAGCACTGTCAATCCGTTCCCGTGGCCAAGTCCTGAAAAACACAAGAATCACTGTCAAATTTAATAACATAGTTCAAGTCGTTATATAATTTACTTACAGATAGCAGATTGCAGTCTAGATTAGACACATAAAGAACGGACTGCAATATCAAATTTGGTGATATAGTGGTTGAGCCAACTCTTGCAACTCTAAAACTTGTTCCATCAGCAATTCTGAGTCTCGATTTCGAAGGTGGCAGAGGCATTGTCTCGGCTGGAGTAAAACTCGCGTGTGGCCACCAAGATGTCATGCGCAGTTTCATACAGCAAAAAATTTTCTCCAATCTCTGTCGTCATTGAGTTGACTAACCAAGACATTACTAGATTGTTTTCGGCGTTCCATGAACAAGCACTTGGATCATCCGTTGGTGGTTGAACAGCTTCTCCCATAAGGTATTCATCCCTACTCTTCCCTCGGATGAAAATGAGAACAGATGAAGACCATTGGAGATAATTACTCCTATTCAGTATGTGTCCAGTGACCAATGAAGGTGTCTGCTCAATGTGAGAATGGTTGATAGGTATTGGATTGAAGGAACCCAAGACATGATCAATGTGAAAGGAGTTTTGCTCATCCATGGCCATTTCAGCTTGAGTTGGATGATGAAAGAATTTGGAACAGAGTTGCCGCTTTGATACCATGAAGAAAACAAGGAGAGAAAGTTTGTGTGACGAGAAAAAATCCTCTGATTTTCTTCAATATTACATAAGTACAAATGTGCCAAATATATAGGTCATTGGCCCAAACAAAAAATGATTAACAGATGCTAACAAAAAGCTAAAAAATTAGTTGGGAGAACATCCAGCTGTTCTAATAATAACAGCTGTCCTAACTACTTGAGAAAAAACTAAGCTGTCCCTAATGTAAGTATACATATATATATATATATATTCCTGCATATGAACACTCTATAATACTCATTCCTATTAAAGAGAAAAACTTGATCTTCAAGCCTGAAATGTGTTTGTGCAGTACTTCTCTTAAAAAAGGTAGAAATGTTACCATCCACCGGCTCAAAAATTCTATATATCCGCGGATATCACATTCGTTGAGCAAGAATCATATTTCACTCAATCTTATCATCAAGGGGAGCCTCTATTGAAAGATAAGGATACGCATTTCTTGGTTTTCTTTAGCCTACCGACTCTGCCAGAAACTCCAACATCACTACCACAAAAAGGCCCTAAAAAAACCCACCAAAATCTTACACTTGAGAGACCATACCTAACTCTACGTTTAGTCAAGTGTACATGAGGTGAAAGAATCCTAATTTAGAGCCTAAGCTAGTCCAAGCATCTGACTTTGATCTTGTAACTGAGGTAAGTCCTGAAAAATCTATATAATCAGATAATAACATACATGTTGCACTTCAAAAAATTATGTTCATGAAAGTTTGTCATCCACTTTCTAAAAGGAAGGCATTATTCATGAATTATCTTAGGTGTATACATCACAACAGAATGGAGAGGCTGAAAGAAAAAACTCCCTTCGAATATCTTTCCCAATTTTATCCAGATGTTAGAACTTCCCATGACCTGGTGCTTAGAAATTTTGGCTGCACTGCATTTGTCGATATTCATGATCCTCAAAAGGGAAAACTAGAATCTTGGGCAGTCAAAGATATAAGGTAGACATTGAGGGGCAATATTGTATTGATCTTTTTGCTTTTTTGGTTGTTTTTGCCTTCAAGATTTTGGAGGCAATAAGAGGATATCTTCCACCTTTTTCATATCGTCTCCTTGTTCTTTTGATAATATTTCTGCTTCTCCCAAACCAGAAAAATTACACCACATACAACATTAATAATGGAACTAGCGTGTACCTCATGAAGATACCAATTATATAAGCTTTTCCCTTCATGACCCCCTATATAGCCATATGATGCTGTTAGTATTCCGCCTTCGATGTAATCACCAGTTATAGATAAGAAATTTAAGCTTGGTGGAAGAGCTGCAAAAAGTACCATGTAAAAAGAAAAAGAAAATAGTTGAGTATACAACATCTAAAGAAAACTTCCTAAGAAATGCAAGAACTATGATGTAAAAAAGAAAAGATATAGTTAAATATATGACATCCAAAGAAAACTTCCAGGAGGAAAAGAAAAAATTTAACAGTTCTAATTTTAATATGAAAATACAAACACAGGTTATAAAGGTGTATAAACCCCATGCCTTAAATATATTTTTCCCATTAATATATTTGCACGTATACGATCTTTTCTGTAAAAAAGCATGAAGAAAATGGAAAAAAGTACATGTCTTAGTTGATCTCCATTGTAAATACCAATAACCAGACAAAGTCTTCTATCTCACAGACAACTAGAACAACAGAATAATGAGGATATGCTCACTGAACCAGACAACTAGTACTAGAAAGTAAATTTCCCAAAACAAATAAAAACTTGAAAAACATAAATAAATAAAATAAAAATAAAAGAAACTCATCAATCAAAACTTTATAAAAAAATTATATACAAGAATACTTCTTTGGTTAATGCCATTCATCTTAAGCATGCTCCTCTAAGATCTGGAAAGTGAGCATGCTAAACTACCTTAATTTTTTATACATCAAAAGGAGTGACATAACCATTATGCTAAGCCTTCTGACTGAGCAAACATGCAGGAGAACACATAAAACTTTGACCATGAAAAATTTTCTACGAGTTTACAAAATGATTCGTACCTCAAATATTTATGAAAAGGCAAAGTTTTACATGACAAAATGTTAGACATGCATAAACCTCCACATATTTCCTCTGAACATCTACTCATATCTACTCTTTGAGCAAACAAAACTCCAGGCGAATACCATCATAAAATCCTATTGTTGTCTATTTCTTCATTATAACAACAAGAGCAATACTAAATAATATTTTGCTCGTTCTTCTACATCGTTCCAGAGAAATATATCCCAATGCTTAAAAACTTCCATTTGTTTCCGTTCATCATCCATGCTTAACAAAATTCCACTTACGTATAAACAAGAATGACCGTTAAGGGGTTGATTACATCAAACAATCCTTTTAAAAAAAAAATTAACTAACTCAAAATATTTTATTGAATAACTAAATTATGTTTTCAGAATTAAAATCACGAAGACATTTATATGCTTTTAAAAGAACCAATATTAAAAAAATACTAAAACCAATAATACTCCTAATGAGATAGGAAAATAACACTAAAAAAATTAGGATTACAACTAATGAAATAAAAATGTCATTGATACAAATAGAAAAACTAAATACAAAAAAAAAAAAAAATCTTAGAATTATCAAAATGATAATAACTTTTTAGAAAAAAGAAAAAGTATAATTAAGATGACAAAGATAATATTACAAGTGTGGAGAATAAGACATCCCCCTCTAATCTTCTAAAACCAAATTAAAATAGTGAAGTAATTTAAGGAAATAAAAACATAGTATAAAATGATATCCAAAAGGGCACAAGACTACTGCTTCCAAGTTCCTGTGAAGCACAAAGAGAACGATCTCAAAAAACTGTCACTTGGGCTTCGAACTAAAATTATATAGCGGACTCCTAAATAGTGTACTAGGTTCTATATTTGGTAGAATTATGATTTCTAATACATTTAGATAATTTATAGCTAATCAATTATGCATTAATAATACTGCTTGCTAAGTGTCAGGTTTTACAGGTCAAGTGTCAGAATTTTCAACAAAATGTGCTCAGCTCTCTCCTAATTGGAACAGGGTGGTGTTTTTGCATCCATTTGATTGTGGGTTAGGGTGTCAGAATTTTCAACAAAATGTGCTCAGCTCTCTCCTAATTGGAACAGGGTGGTGTTTTTGCATCCATTTGATTGTGGGTTAGGGAAACAGAAATTTCTTGAATATTGCATTACATGATTAGAATTAGAAAGCTATTCCTTCTTGAGGCCTTTCTTTTTTCTAGTATTCTTCTTTTTCTTCTACAAGGATGCCTTATCCTCTCTTATGTAATTATATCTATTCTTAATAATATTTCTTCTTTCATTAAAAGTTTTATAAATATATATAGAATAAGGACAAGAAAGAAGAGATGAATCATTCCATAGCACCTTCTCTCCAATCCAAAACCAACTACCAAAAAAGGGAAATGAAGTGTTTAACTTACTCTCAACTGCTCTTTCTGATATTACATATGCTGGTTCACCACATTCACCATCTGGAGTCATAGGAGTATATTTTGCAACAACATAATAGCCAACAGCTCCTAAAGGTATCCGGAATGCCTAAACAAAGTTGAAAACTCAACTAGGAGGTTGCCCCAAATATACCAGCAAAAGGATTCAAGCTTTTTAAGAAAAGTATAACCACTGCATAATAGATTTACCTTAGCAATCTTGGATGCGCTCATTGCTTCAAGACCATTCTCATTCAATGTTGAAGAAATTGTTTTAAACCACTGCACTCTACTTGAAGCTTCAGACCCTCCAGTAACAGTACCAGTTACAGTAACCTTACTGTTCTCTCTCAGATCGCCAATAATCTTAAGATTTGTTATTTTTGGGGGTGCTACAAGTAGAGAAAAGAAGAACATTAAAATAAAAGGGCAATAACAAATAATAATGATCTATTAAAGTAACATATAAATTGGGAACACAAGGTAGTGAATATAAATAATATATGAGCCCATCTTGGTGGCAAAATCTAGCCAAAAAGGAGCTAGCAGTTCCATCTCCAACGTCAATGGCCCCTTCATGGAAAAAGAGTAGCTTCATGGAAAAACCAGGGTTGGTTGACTTTTCTTTAAATTATGAGCGTTGTGCTAGTCTCACCTCTCCCTCAAAACAAAGACCTTTGTCATTCCCTTGCCTAGTTGTGCAGCTAAAATGCTTGAGTGCATTAAATATAGTTTCCTATTGCATGATTCTTTAGAGTTGAAGACATCCTATCTTAGGCATTGGAACTCAGTAAAAACACCCACCTCGATCAGGGCTTAGGTATCAAGTCTCTTTCACTTCTCAACAAGCAATCTGCGCAAAATTGTACTGGAGATTTTTCTCTAATAGGGGGAGTGTTTGATGACAATTCATTTGGGCTAAACATGGGATGACAAGTTGTCGTTAGATAGCAAGGATGACAAGGCATGCATGAATATAATGTATAAACAGGATTAGCAAATATCAGTTTGATTCTATGAGGAACAACTCCACTTCCCTGTTCCAATTGATCTAGGATGTTTTTCAAGGATGATATTTGCAGCGGAAGCATTGTTACGAAGGAGAATATTTTTGTGGGAGCATCCTTATGCAACCATCTATGTTCTTGCAATTGACAAAAAGTCAATCTTGGGGATTGCTTTCATGTTGCTAGCTATACAGATGTTCATAGCTATACAGATGCTTTAAAAATCTGTATAGCTAGCAATCTATGCTTTGAACATCTGTATGCTTTGAACAAAAAGTCAATCTTGAGGATATTTTTGTGGAAGCATCCTTATGCAACCATCTATGTTCTTGCAATTGACAAAAAGTCAATCTTGGGGATTGCTTTCATGTTGCTAGCTATACAGATGCTTTGAACATTATGTCTCTAATATGGAAAAAGATGTCTTATAAGAAAGAGAAACTGAAGTACTATCCTGCAGGAATTTTATCATCCCCGGAGAAAGAAACAAAAATACAAAAATAAAACAAAGGAGAAAAATTGACACACTCGAAAGATGATAACCGATGATGCACTGCCTTGGACATTGCTCTCACTCGCAATCCTCAATGACTAGGAACAACGGTGCAGCAAAATCTGCTTGGTGCTTTCCATCCAATCGGGAGGATTTACTGTTGTGAAATATATCTAAAAGGGGTTCTTTCTCTAGCCTTTTCATTATTCTTTTCTCAACCACAACAAAATCAATGGAAGCCGATATGGAAACAAAAACCTCCTCTTCCCCCACCCCCTGCCAAAACTGTGTTGCCTTTTTTGTTTGGGAGACCTCTTTGGCTGTATATCAACAAATAACAATTTCGGAAATAGATGATACATCATTCGCAATCAGTTCTGGCTCCCCCAGCTTTATAACAAACCCCCAGACAATCTTCTTCCATGGTGCCCTCAGTGGAGAAGGCCATGAGACTCGGCTCTCAATCTTATGGGAACTTCATGGATCAATTCAAGTAGAACTGCAACCTTGGATAAGTTATTAAACCACAAGAGAAAGAAAAAAATTCCCCACCACCATCCAGCATGCCATTCTCCAGTCCATATTGAAAGAAAGGAATGGGAGTGTATTCGAGGGTGATGAACCTAATCATGCTACATTTTAAAAACCACTTTTCCAAACTTTATGAATTTGTTACCATAAGAAAGTAATGAAATAAATATTCAGCAAATACTAAATTTGATCAGCATACCATGCTTCACTATATTTGACACCACCGATACAGATTGCCCTTCTAGCCCTACAAAATTATAAAACAAAATATAATTAAATCATAAGAAAAGCACAGAGACTTCTCAAAAGCATGATAAGAAAAATCAACTAACCCTCAAAATTTATGGGTATATATGCAAAAGCCAAGCATCGGCCTACATCTTCTTTCGTCAAAGTGTAATCAGACGTACCAGTTGATGCCAACACATAGTCCCTGCCATGGAAAGTATCTCAAAAACATTAAAAATGCATTCAACCAAACATATGACAAGGAAATTTTAATGAACGGAGAACATGCACTACAAAACATATGTTTTAAGGAAAGTATTTTGAAGTCATAATTAAAAGCAAGTATCACGTGTAGAGCCAACAGAATAGAATTGTAAGCACAATATATATTTAAAAACATGTGTAATATCTATTTTCTTTTAATTTAAAAATATATATTACTACTGACAAGGTACCGACGGAGGGTACATGTGCAAAATTTAGACATAAAATAGATAAAAATCAGAAGACTAGAAGGTTTATGAATTCTCCCTCGATAGAGAGATCAATATGATAACAAGAAAAATACGACTTGGCAACAGATATAAATTATACTAACCCAGTTTCTCTGTTCTCACGTAACCAGTGGAACTTGCTAGGGCCCTCTCTACCTCCAAAGTAATCTCCAATTCCTTTGATAACATTTCCTTCAACAGGATCTCCAATAATTCGGACATTACTGACAGATGGTGGAGCTGCCACCACAAATGATATAAATTGGCATCCTTTTACCACCCTTTATGGGTTTAGAACGGGAAAAAATGTGTGACAACATTCAGGGGAAAAAAAGTTAAATAAACTCTGTTTTGCAAGCTAAATATAAGAAACCAGTAGGGAAACACCATTGGATCGAACGTACACATACATGTATATCTAGACTTCCACTTTTTGTTTAATAGAAAAACAAGTATTATTAGATAGAAAATCACAAATACAGCAACTGAGGACAAGTGGTCCTCCCAGCAGAAGATATAGTATGTTTTTGCATGCAAGTGGTTCTTGTTGCCTTTCTGAATATTACTATACTATTTTTCAAAAACAATGAGGTGCTTAGTACAGTTCAAAATCTCTTGGCTATGACTTCACTATAGTTAATAAAAAAAAAAAAACATATCAAGCCAGCCATAGCACATGTTATTAGTGTAATGGGCCAACTCCTGCACAAGTCTAAAGAAGTGCACTTACAAGCAGTCTATAGAATACTTCATTATTTGAAGGGTACTCCGGAAAATGAAATTATGTCCACAAAAACAATTGATTACGTCTTAAAGCATTCACTGATACAGACTATGTTGGATCACCCATTGATAGGAGATCCGCATTTGGGTATTGTACCTTTATTAGAGGGAATCTAGTGACTTTAAAAAGTAAAAAACAGAACAAAGGAGTCTAGTCCAGCGCAGAATCTAAGTTAAAGATTATGGTCTAAAGGGGTGTGTGAGCTTCTATAGTTGAAGATGAATCTAGAATACTTAAAGATTCAATGGGATGAACCAACGAGACTCTACTGCAAAATAAATCAGAGATTAGCATCTCTACAATCTATTACAACATAACAGAACCAAGCACATTGAAGTAGACAGTCACTTCAAGAAAGAGAAGTTGGATACTGGACTGATTTGCACTCTATGCATGTTAACCACTTCAAATTGATGATATTTTGACTAAAGGATTATGCAATCCTATATTTCAGATGAGTAATGCCAAAATGAAAATGAATAATATCTATTCATCAGCTTGAAGGGGAATGTTGAACAGTTCAAATTAGTGTTTCATTAAGATAAAAAGTATTATAAGTCCATATTTGTGTAATATTTGTAATTAATATTGATTCCTTTTGTTGTTGCTATTCACTTTTATATGTAAGGTCTTGATATTCAATAAAGTACACAATAATTCACTCTTCTACATTCACAAGAATAGAGGTATCCTTTTGGCAGTGGGTGATAAAATGGTGGCAAGGAATGACCTCAGTAAAAAAGACGATACTACTTTTGCTTTAAAAGCTTAAAAAGAGGTTTACTGAAAACTCCTTTGTTTTAATAGATGAAGGGAACAATGTGTATCAAAAAAACACCAATCAGGTGTATCAAAACTTTATAGATCAGTCAAATATCTATCAGAAGACCCTAAATCCTCATAAAAGCCAGTGAAAAACTCTTAAACAAGAAAAAACCACAGCCTGGAACTGTAAATCACTAATGCTACTTAAGGGAAAAACAACAACGACCACAAAATCTCTTCTACTTCGTCCCATCCAATGATCAAAAAGTCCCCTCATTAATGAAAACCCCCAAATAGGAAATTACAATTGGATGATGCCAATTATAGGGTAAGAGCATCCTTGTTATTACCTTTGACTCACAGAGTAAGAACGAATTTACATATAGAAAATTTGGTAGGTTGTGTCCTTGTCCAAATAACAGCCAAACTAGTTATAATGCTCCCAAATAGGCGCTCTTCCGCCTAGAAACTAAGAGGGACATCTAATATTTGTTTATTAAAAAACTTGTGGAAACTAGATTCAAGAATTCAAGTACTTGTGTCAAATACTTCAAGACCTTCAAGGGGGTTTATTCTTTTGGGTAAAAGAAGTGTTGAATATGATATTTTCTTATTTTATTATTTAATTATATAATCTCATGCAATTAAAATTATAGTAGAATAAGAATTTTCCAATTAATATGTTAGAAATTTTATAAATATTTAAAGTGTAACAACTTAAAGGGTGAGAAATAAAATTATTTTTTCTCTTAAAATCAACATAATATTATAACCAAAGTAAGACTATTTTACGGTTTTAATTTTAGAATTTTTTCCAAAACTCTAAAATAGCACAATATACTGAATTGGTACTCTTTTATCCAGATATATTCTCATCACTACCCAAGACATAACTGAACCCGCCAATGTGTTCTATAGTATTTATGATGATTTCCAGCGGTGAATCAATCGCCGGTTAAAAGTTGCAACCACACATCTGCAAGCACCTATAAAAAGGTGCAATTGCACGTTCATAATCGTCGATAAAAAGGTGCAATTGCACATCCGCATGCGTCGGTAAAAAGGTGCAGCCACACATCCACAGTCGTTAGTAAAAATTGCAGCCACACATTCGCGAGCGCTAGTAAAAAATGCAGTTGCACATCCGCAGGTGCTGGTAAAAAGGTACAGTTGTACATCCACAGGTGCCAGTACAAAGGACGCGCCATTCAGTGTTCTCCACGCGCTGGATCACTCAAACCTGCTTTGTCCATTTTGAGCCGAGTACAAGCCGCTTTTGAGCCAACTTCAAGCCTTTTTTGAGCCATTGTTAAGCTGACTTCGAGCTTTTTTTAGCCGAGTTCAAGTCATTTTCGAGCCAACTTCGAACCTTTTTTGAGCCAAGATCGAGCCATTTTTTAGCCTTTTTTTAACCAAATCCGAGTCCTTTTTGAACCGTTTTGAGCTGAGTTGGGTTGCTGTCTTATCAGACAAATCTGCTTCCTTTGCGCGCAAGCCATCATGACCAACCTTTTTTGGTCCTTTTTCCTAGCTCCTTTATGCGTGATTGTCTCTCATTTCGCGATCAAGCCTTCTTCGCGCGCGAGTCGCTTTGACCAGCATTTTCTGTTCCTTTTTCTGACTCTTCTGCGTGCACTCACCTCTAGTTTTGTGATCCGGCATAGATCTGCTTCTTTTGCGTGCAAGCTGCTCTGCACAGTCTTTTTCGGTCCTTTTTCGACTCTTCCGCGCGTGTACGCCTCGGGTTTGCAACTTAGTCTGCAAGTTGAGCATGTGTTATATTCTGCACCAACTTGAGAGGGGATGTTGAATATGATATTTTCTTATTTTACTATTTAATTACTTTATTATTTTATTAGATAATCTCATGTAATTAGAATTATAATAAAATAAGAATTTTCTAATTAATATGTTACGACTTTTATAAATACCTTAAGTTTAACAACCTAAAAAGTGAGAAATAAAATTATTTTTCTCCTAAAATTAACACAAAAAAATATTATTAAGGAAAATAAAAAAAAAATATAACGATTGACAATAAGATATGCTCCTCAAACCCTCTAGTACAAGAATGGCGAAACAAAAAACCAATGAAAAACCCATCAAGTATCAGTGTATTACCTCTGTTTCAAGAAGGCTCACCAGAGACGCAAGATAAAATGGTTTGTGTCTATGGTGAATAGCACAGTCTAGCAATTCTCACTTTTTGTTTTGCTTACAATAAGGAAAGGAAATTGGTCACTTGGGTGTATACCCTTATTAACACAAAACTGAGAACTTCCCTCCGGGAAGAGCTCTCCTCTCTTTATGGGTTATTTTCCCCATTAGAATGCGAGATTGACTTGAATGTGACTGAAGGCCATGTAGAAAACTCAGGAGGAAACAGCATCACTTCTAGAATTTGATGCTTCAACAATTTCATAGAAGATCTCACTTGCAGGGCATGAAAGTTTCCAAAGTCCAATATGCATGGTCAGTCTCTAAAGGAAGGATCATGCAATGTCGTGTACATCAGTTTCAAGTTTCAAATAAATTTGTTGATTGTTTCCCCATTTCTTAAGGAGGTTTTGCTAGGCGTAATTGATCTTGCATTGATTTGTACAAGTTTTCGGTTAGACATAATTCCTAACCTTCTTTTTGTCTCTTGTTGACGACCATGCATCCAATTTCTACTCATTCATAAAGCTTAATTACTATAAAGGTCGTAAATTGGTGACTTTGTTCCTTCTACTAGACTCTTTTCAGCAACTCCCAACTCCAACTCTACAACTTGGTCCCTTAGTCCTTGAGGATCCTATACCTATAAATCTCTCTTCAATCCTTCACCCTTAGCCGCAATAATAACACCACTATTTTTCTTCCCAATTTCTAAAAAGTGAAAGAACCTCCTTAGAGCTTTTATTTCAACAACATTCCTTAATAGAACTAATACTAACAACTTGCTTCAAGTTTGATGATCCTTCTTTGCTCTTTCCCTTGATGTATGTGTTTTAACAGTTTGAAGCATAGAAGCCATCCTTTCATTTCTTCTCTTTTGTTTATGATATTTCTAAAGAGTAATCCATGTGCTGGCGGGGGCTATACTTGCTGGTATTTGGGATCTATGGATGGGAAGAAATGCTTGTCTCGAGCAAATCTCCTACTCTGTTATTGATTTCTAGGATAGGATTATGTGTTTACTTGGACACTTCTTTCCACAGTCCAATGGGATTAGGTTACTGTTTTATGTCGTTTCTGTTTTGTTTCTTCACTTTTATTTTTTGTTAAAATGCTTATCCTTTTCTGTTTCTGTGATGGAACATACTTTATGCTCCTTTAGGATGTAACTTCTACTCTATCATCTAATATGCTTATTTTTCTATTAAAAAAGTACATACAAATATGATCTCTTGAAGCTTTCAATTCTGTTCCTTTTCTCCTATTGGTATATTATTCTTCCCATAGTTCTAATTCTGTTCTACTGACTCCTCAATTTTCCTCACTCTCTTCCTAATTTTCCCCACAAACTTTCTTTACATCAATGACAAGTAAATAAAGAAAAAAAGTTTGAAGTTTGATTTAGTAATATATTCTCAAAAGACATTGGCAGAGCATTAGTGAGAAAGTGCAGAAGCTTTATCCCAACCTGCTTTTACAAAATCGGTATACTTATATTGAGGTTCCCCTTTGGCACCTTCTTCCGTTACTGGTGTGTACATGAAAACCAAACTTGAATCTACATCATCCAAAGTCAACAGGTACTCTTCATCTTCTGCTCCAACAATTACCACTGGACTACCGTTCCACCTTCTCCTTAACCAACTGATAGATGATAAGTAGAACAATAAAAGTTAATGCATATTTTTTCCCAAAAGAAATAAAAAGTTTATGCCATAGTTCTAAAAAGAAAAAAGGAAGAAGAATCGATTTATGCTAAATTTTCTAAATTGATTAGGTATTATATTTCTTTGAAGTCTAAAATTTATTGCATTACTTAGGGATCTATT